ATATATTTTATATTATGTATAATAATATATAAATATATATTTAAATATATATTTTTATATATAGTGTATATTATTATATATTTTTATATATAATAATATATCTTTATATAAAAATATATATAAAATATATATAAATATATATATATAAATATAGAAAATAATATATAAATATATAATATATTTATAAATATATATATATAATTTTGAAATATTTATGTGTATAACCCCAATAGCAATTCCAGAATTCCATAATCAATCCCTCACAATTCCAGAGCAGAATCTTGGGAATTGTTTGTGTTTTATCCCCGGAGCTGAGGAATTCCGGGGGTGAATCCCTGCCTGCCCCTGGGGCGGGAATTGAGGCTCCAGTTCCGAGAGGATCCCGAATTCCCAAAGCACAGGAATGGGGGAAAATGGGATTAACGGGGCCAGGGGGGTCCTGGGGGTCACTCGGGGTCATTTTGGGGTCACTCGGGGTCATTTTGGGGTCACTCGAGGTCATTTTGGGGTCACTTGAGGTCATTTTGGGGTTACTTCAGGTCATTGGGGTCAGCCGAGGTCATTTTGGGGTCATTTTGGGGTCACTCGGGGTCATTGGGGTCGTTTGAGGTCACCGGGGTCACTCGAGGTCATTTTCGGTTTTTCGAGATTTTTGGGATCCCTGCCCGGGGTTACTTTAGGTCATTTGAGGCCCTGTTTGGGGTCATCCGAGGTCATTTTGGGGTTACTCGAGGTCATAGGGGTCATTTTGGGGTTACTTGAGGTCATTTTGGGGTCACTCAAGGTCATTTGGGGTCATTTTGGGGTCACTCGAGGTCATAGGGGTCATATGAGGTCATGCTTTGGGTTACTTGAGGTCATTTGAGTCCCCAGTAATTGAGTGAGGGCTCAGAGCTTGACGTTGCTTTAATTAATTCTCATTTAATTGATTTCCTTCATTTTTATTTTTAATCTTCTGTCAGAGGCGCTGGTGCAGAACTCGGGGTGAGGCTGCATGAAAATAAAATAAAATAAAATAAAATAAAATAAAATAAAATAAAATAAAATAAAATAAAATAAAATAAAATAAAATAAAATAAAATAAAATAAAATAAATAATTCCTCAGTGATGTCTCCATGGAATTCACTTTTTGGGTTTCCTGTCCCACATTCCGGGGAGCTCGGAGCCCCCCGGTGGTTTTGGGGTCGGCAGCCCGGGCTGGCAGCAGGAGAACATCGGGGTCCCCTCCCTGCAGCTCCTAAAGGGGAAAAAAAAGGGGAAAAAATGAGGGAGAAGATGGGGAAAATATGGGGGGGGAATGGGGAAAAAATGGGAAAACAATGAGGAAAAAATGGGGGGAAAATGGGAAAAAAAATGGGAAAACAATGAGGAAAAAATAGGGGAGAAATAGGGAAAAATGAGAAAACAATGAAGGAAAAATGGGGGGGGAATGGGGAAAAAATGGGAAAACAATGAGGAAAAAATGGGGGGGAAGAATGGGGGGAAAAGGGGGAAAAAGGACAGAAAAAGGGGAGAAAAGAAGGGGGAGAAAAAGGGGGGAAAGAAAAAGAAGGAGGGAAAAAGGGAGAGGGAAAGAGGGTGAGGAAAAGTTGGGAAGAGGGAAATCGGGAAAAAACGGGGACAAGAAATGGTGAGCAAAGAAATCGGGGCAAGAAATCAGGGAAAAAGGGAGGGGAAAAGGGAGAGAAAATTGGGGGAAAAGAAGGGAGAAAGGGGGAGAAAAGGGGAGAAAAAAGGGGGAAAAGGGGAGAATAAATTGGGAGAAAAAAGGGGGAAAGGGGAGAAACAAGGGCAGAAAAGGGGAGAAAAAAATGGGAGAAAAAAGGGGGAAAAAGGGGGGAAGGGAGGGAAAGGGGGCGAAAAAGTAAAAAATGGGGGACAAAAGAGGGAGACAAAAGAAAGGGAGGGGAAAAGAAAAAGGGGGAAGAGGAAGAGAAAAAAGGGGAAGGGGTGGAAAAGGGTGGGAAGAAAAGGGGGGAAAAGCGAGGGAAGGGAAAAGTGAGGGGGGGAAAAAAGGGGGGAGAAGAAAGAGGGGAGAAAAAAAGGGAGAAATAAAAGGGGGACTTGGAAAAGTGGGACTTGGAAAAGGGGGAATGGAAAAGGGGGACTTGGAAAAGGGGGACATGGAAAAGGGGGACATGGAAAAGGGGGACATGGAAAAGGGGGAGCGATAAAAGGCGGGGAAGGGGGGAAAATGTGGGGTAAATTTGGGGGGAGAGCAAAAGGGGGAGGGAAATTGTCCCCAGCCCTATTTAACACCCCACACTCACTGTCAGCAGCCAACCAGGGATGCTCTGTCCCTCATGGATTTTCCTCCTTCCCGGCCTTTGCAGAATCAGGGATGAATCCCTTTCTCCTGGTTTGAAGGACAGGAATCTCCCCAGGCGGGCAGGAACTTCCCTGGAATGGAAAACAGCAGGAAAATCCCTCTTCTCTAACTCCGAAATTACGGACTTTCAGGAGAAAATGTGGGGAAATGAAAGGCGGTTCTTTACTAGAATGTATAAAATGAGGAAAACAAACAGCAGCCGAGGCAAAGAGAATTCCATCAGCAATCCCAAAAACCTTTCCCACCCTTTCCCCCTTCGGTGTGGCCGTGGGAGGAGCGGGATGGCCGGGGGGATTTGGGGTTTGGGTTAAAGTGGAACAAAAACCCCAAAACAGCAGCAGGGAGCAGCAGGGGCTGGGAGGGAGGAGGAGGACGAGGAGGAGGAGTTGGGATTTTTTGGGATTTCCTCGGGTTCTCACCTGTCCCGTGCGATGTCCTGGGAGTGGCAGCAGAGCCGGGAGAGGCTCCCCCGGAGAGGGGTCGGGGATTGGGGTCTTGGATTTCCCCTAAAGCAGCGAGCAGAGGCTCAGGGATTGGGATCCCGGGTTTCCCCTAAAGCAGAGGCTCAGGGATCAGGGATTGGGGTTCTGGATTTCCCCCAAAGCACCGAGCGGAGGTTCGGGGTCCCTCCCAGTGGGGTGGGAAATCTCCCGGTTCTGGGGGCAGAGACTCCCCCGGGGCAGGAGGGCGGTGAAGGACAGAACTCCGAGCTGGCAGCGGATTCTGCCCCCGATCCCTGCCCCAAAACCATCTCTGTCCCCCCAAAACCCTGCCCCAAAACCATCGCTGTCCCCCCCAAATCCTGCCCAAAACCATCTCTGTCCCCCCAAACCCTGCCCCAAAACCACTGCTGTCCCCCCCGACCCCCAGGGGCACCAAGGGCACCCCCCAAATCCTCCCCAAAACCATCTCTGTCCCCCCAGACCCCGAGACCACCCCCCAAACCCGGCCAAGCCCCCAGATCTCTGCCCTGCCCTAGGAACGCCCCCAACCCCAAATAAAATCCTACAACAGCTACAAAATCCCCACCCCAAGCGCGCCTTTTCCCTCCTCGGCACCTCCTTCCCATCCCGAGGCTGCAAGAGGCAGGAAAAGTTCCTGGGAGGAAGAAATTTTTTAAAAAAATTAAAAAATGGTGAAATGTAATTTTCCCCAGCTGTTCCTAAGCAGAGCCGGGGGGGGCACAGGTGGGATCTGATTCCCCTGGGCAGGGAGGAAATGGCAGCACCAAAAGTGCAGCACCTCCTTTAAATTCAAATATAAAGGTCAGAAAAAAGCACCTAAATGTCCTTTGATACAGGAATTAATTTGTTATTTAACATTTTTTTTTTTAATACCAAAAATGCAGCACCAAAAGAGAGCAGCACTTAATTTAAATAAAAATATAAAGGACAGAAAAAGCCACCCAAATGTCCTTTGATACTGGAATAGATTTGTTATTTAAGGTCTCTTTTGTACCAAAAATGCAGCACTAAAAGAAAGCAGCACCTCATTTAAATTGAAATCTAAAAGACAGAAAAAGGCACCCAAATGTCCTTTGATACAGGAATTAATTTGTTATTTAACATTTTTTTTTGTACCAAAAATGCAGCACCAAAGCAGAGCAGCACCTCATTTAAATT